TCCTCCTCCTCCTCCTCCTCCTCCTCCTCCTTCTCGTCCTCCTCCTCCTCCCGTGCTCACCGCCGGCAGCCGGCACTTTGCGTTCACCCAGAGAGTGGCTCCACTTGGGTGCGAGGTGGAGAGGGGCAAATCCGTTCACAACGATCCATGAAAATGCTTTGGAAACTGACGGATAATATCAAGTACGAGGACTGCGAGGTAAGCGCGGTGCCGGCTCTGTCATCCTTGCAGCCGCAGCCTCCAAGCTCGACTCCCCCTCGCCTTCTCTCCTCGCAGCCAGCTGCGAAATGCGGGTGGGACAAACTTTCGCCGGCGCCGCGCCCGCCCCCTTATCCCCGAGAACGCGGGGGAGAAGCTGGAGAGGGAGGATCTGGACGCTTTCTTCCCTTGTTTCCCTGGGACCACTTTACTCCTTTTTCGGACCACTTTTGGCGGTGTCTAAGAGTGGAGCAAAGAGAAGAACATCTTTCTTTCTTTCTTTCCTTTTTTAATAATCGCGGGCAATCGGGCACGCGCCTGTTCATTCTGTGTGGTCCGGGTCCCAAATCACAACTTCTTTGATATAATATTCCTTCTTTTATACTTATTTTTTTCCCGCTCTCCCTCCCTCCCTCCCTCCCTCCCTCTCTCTCCTTGGACTTATTTTGAGAGGGCCTTCGCTCTGAGCTCGGTTGCGCCTCCCTGTAAGAGGCTCGCTTGGGAGTTCTCATCCCGGCTACCCGGCTCACTCCCAGCCCTCCCTGTTTCAAGAAGTTCAGAGCAGCTTCTCCGCTGTGCTGAGCTAAGGGTGGACACACCCCGCGGTGGTGGCGTCGAGGACGCGCTGCGCCTGCCGGCTCTGTATCCCGGGCACCCGCCCTTGCACCGGCCGGCGCTCCACAGCTGGACCGTGGGAATCCTGGCGCAAGGGCCGCCGCCTCTGGTGCCACGAACCCCTGGGCCGGCGGAGCGCGCCCCTATGACGCCGGGTTTAAAACTCAGGGCCCCCAGAGCTCGACTTTTTGGGACAGGCCAGAGAGCGAACAATCGGCCCGAGGGAGGCGCTGGGAACCCGAGGCAACCTCTTTCACGTCCCCCACTGAAAAGAGCAGATGAGTCTAGGAGAGGGTGGAGGCAGGAGGCCATAGATTATCCAAATAAATACATAGCAGCCTCGACTTTTCCTTTTTCTTCTTTACTCCGCTGGCGTTTGGAGCAGCTGAGACTATTAGGCAGAGACGCCTGCGTGCCTGCGCAGTGGCGGAAATCTTGCCTTTACGAATTCAGAAACTGGGTTTCTATGAACGACGTGTCACCCTCTCCCTCCTCCCTTTTCCTTCCCAACGCTACCACGCTTCTTTATGTTTTCAGGCTCCCCTGTTTGCTGTACCCCAGTCTCGTAGACCGGGCCCGAGGTGACACCTCACGGGCACCGGCGCTGTTCCGGGGGCTTCGGGCGCGCTGGAGGGGGGCGTGGGGACAGCAGTCGGAGAGGTCGCTTTGTTTTCGGGACGTGGGGGCTCTTTGTGAGCAAGTTGGGTTGACCCTTGGTCTCTGCCTAGGGCAGTCCACTCTGTGCAGGTCTAGGCTCTGGCCTGAGGCTCGAACATTTCACTTCCGCGGAGGCCGAGACTCGGTTCTAGGTTCGGGCGCGGTTGGCAGCAGGGTTCCGAACCTCAGCGCGGCTCTGCGCGTACCAGCGGCCGGGAGGGGCCGGGTGGGAGAGGCGCTGCCACCCCAGAGGGACCGCTCCTGGGTGCATGTGAATGTGTGCGTGTGAGTGAGGCATGAAAGACGAGAAACGCGAGAGCAGGAAGCTAGATAAAGTCAAGGCTGTTCCGACAACTTTGCGGTAGCGGCAGCGGGGATTTCGGGGCCGCCGGATTGTGCAGAGGCTCTGCCGGGACACGCAGGAGGCGAGGTGCCGCCCGTTGTGACAACCTGGCGGGCGGAGTGGCAGCGGCGGCGCGCTGGGAAAGTCAGCCTTGTCGTGGGGGCCGCCGGGCGGTAGTGACCCAGCCAGTCGGACGGGTTTACGCCGGGAGCCGGGAGCCGGTGCCAGCTGCGCCCGGGCTGGGCCGCCTCGTGTCTGTGCGCGCCCGGGGCAGCGTCCAGGCTCCCCCTCGCGGAGCCCCGGGAGGGAGAGCCGAGGGAGGAGCGCGCGGGTATCCGAGGGAAGCTCTCTAGGTCGCCGAGCCGAGCGAGGGCTGGTCCCAGACGGGGCGCTGGGCCATGGAGGCGCCGGGCGGCAGCGGACAGCCAAACCCGGATTCCCTGGCCGGCCTGCGCTGCAGGGAAGCCCGCGGCCGGAGAGCACCAAGAGGCGCCTCCGGAGCTCAGAGCCCGAGCAGCGCCCGCACGCGGTGCCCCGCGGCTCCTGTCCGCTACGCGCGACCCCCGCCACATCCTGAGGTCTGCCCCAGCCTTTTAGGTCTGATTGTCCTCGCCGGCTTCCTCTCCCCTCCCCCTCCCCCGCGGCCGCCCCCTCCGCTCCGCGCGCTCGGGCTCGGCCCCCTCCCCTCCCCCCTCTTCCCTCCCCTCCTCCTCCCGGGCTCTCCCTCCTTCCTCCCTCCGCGCTCCCTACTCGGAGCTCCTCTCCTCGCCCACACTTTCTTTCTCACACACGCACGCAGACACATTCTCCCTCTCCGTGCTCTCTCCTCGGCCTCCCTCGCTCCCTCTTTCTCTTTCACTTTTGCACGCCCTGCAACCTTTTAAAATGTTGCCCCTTCCCTGTGATTCGCCAGCCGCCGCGCCGCGGCCCCCCGCGCGCTCGCCCGCTCCCTCTCTCGCCCGCTTTTTGTCTCCCGAGCTCCCTGTCCCCAGCTCCGATTTGCTACACTGAGGCTCCCGTCAATGGACTGCATTGAGAGTCGGCTCCGGCGCGAGTTGCCTCTCCGCTTCACGCTCGATTTCCAGGCATTCTTCCCTTATTAAGTATTCGTGTAATATTAATAGTCATGAATATCTGCTATTAGGAGGCTCCAGGAACGCTGCCCGGCGAGCGCGGTTATTAGAAGCTCAAGTGAAGCCGCCGCTAAGAAAAGAGGGGAGACACGGATTAAGGAACACGCGCGCGCACGCATGCACACACACTCTCTTCAGACACTTTTTTTTTTCCCTTTTTTGGGGGGTTTTTCTTTTCTTCTTCTTCTTCTTTTTTTTTTTTTTTAAAAAGAACTTTGAATCCTAACCGACCGCGGCAGGATTGAGACGGTGGGCTCGACCAGCTGAAGGCGCCGCGGAGTGTGTGGTCCACGTCCGGATGGATGCGCGCGGGGCTACGGCGCCCGCGGGAGTGTCCGCGCGGTGACTCGAATCCTGCGTAGCGCTGGGCTCTCGGCGCCTTTGTGTGGGGCGCGCTCGGGCGGCGGGCAGCCGGGTGCTCCGGGCTTGCTTTTTTTTTTTTTTCACCCTGATTCGTTACCCCAGACTCTTCGCAGATGTTAGTTCACAGTTTTTCAGCTATGGTGAGTCCCACCCCCCACCCCATTCCTGTTTCGTTAGGAATTCTGTTCTAGAATCCCCGGGCCAGTGCAGCTGCCCGCGACCTCGGGGTTCGCTCCCAGGTTTCCTCCTTAGCACCTCCTTCCATTCGCATCCCTCCACTTTCCACCTTCCTCGCTCTCCTTTGCTCCGTTCCGTCCTTGGATCCAGTGCATCGCCACCCGCTCTCGCGCCCTCGGACCTACCCAGGCGCATTTCTCGCCACGTTCACCTTTATTTCCTTGCGTCTCCACTTGTTCTCGAGATGTTCTCAACATTTGATGCTAAATCTGTCTTTAGGAAAATAAAAAATCCTACCCGGCATACCCCCAACCGGCAGTCAGGGTCTGCGGCTGAACCGTGCAGGATTTGCGTACCCGGGAATCCTATTTGCTTGTTTTGCAAGCGAATTGCAATACAAGAACCTAAAGTCAGGCGTTTCTCCTGCCCTTTGGGGCCCGGGTGGAAGGGGCGGGGGCCTCCGCCCCGGGGTGCACCTCTCCCCGTTAAACCCAATAAGGCTGAGCCTTTCTGTTTTCAACCTTAACTTGATGCCCCCATTTATACCTTGTAAATCGAGTCTGTCGAGAAAAGGCTCCTAACTGAGGAAGTGGCAAAGACAGACCCCCGATCCTGCAGTTAAATCCTTCCTTAAGCTGGTAATTTAAACATGTGCTCTCCTTACAACCCCTGTGCGAAGTATGTTTCTATTTAAATACTCATGAAATGGTAATGGTCTTTGAAGGTTTCTGTTTTTTTTTTTTTTCTTTTTCTTTTTTTTCCCTCCTTTAAGTGGAAGAGAGTAAACAACGAAGTGCAGCAGACAGGTTCAAATCCGGGGGAAAGGAAAAGGCCGCTTCTACTGTTTAATATTTAGCAGGGATTTTAATTTTGCTTAAGGGAGGTTTCGCGCAATTGAAGGAGCCATCTTCCAGGAGACCCCTTTCTGTCCTCTTCCACTTTTTAAAGAAACGTGGAAGGAGACTCTCTCGTGCGCGTGTATTCACACAATCTAATTCCTTCGCGCTTTTGGAACTGCCTCTGATTTCTAGGGTGGTTTCCGAAATGATTAATGTAGAGCAGATTTGTTCTTTTTACCCGGCGGCCTGCTGTGGGGAAAGAGTAGTTTTCCACCCAGGTTTGCGAGTGGGTTTAGTGGGGACGGAAGCGAGCCGCGTCTGATTTCTTGTCCTTTCCCCTGCTCTAGGACCGTCACGACGGCACCAGCAACGGGACGGCACGGTTGCCCCAGCTGGGCACTGTAGGTCAATCTCCCTACACCAGCGCCCCGCCGCTGTCCCACACCCCCAATGCCGACTTCCAGCCCCCCTACTTCCCCCCGCCCTACCAGCCTATCTACCCTCAGTCGCAAGATCCTTACTCCCACGTCAACGACCCCTACAGCCTGAACCCCCTGCACGCCCAGCCGCAGCCGCAGCACCCGGGCTGGCCCGGCCAGAGGCAGAGCCAGGACTCTGGGCTCCTGCACACTCACCGGGGGCTGCCCCACCAGCTGTCGGGCCTGGATCCTCGCAGGGATTACCGGCGGCACGAGGACCTCCTGCACGGCCCGCACGGGCTCGGCTCCGGACTCGGAGACCTCCCGATCCACTCCTTACCTCACGCCATCGAGGACGTCCCGGTAAGAGGCCGCGAGCGCGGGCTGGGTCGGGCCGGGGTGTCTCCCAGCACGGAGACGTCCCGGGACTCGCAGCCCGGCCGGGCCTTCCTCCAGGAAGGTCCTTCCCGAAATGTTTATTTGGTGACAGTGGTGGTGGTGGGGTGTGCTGAGCACCCGAAGAAACAACCAAATTGAAAAGTTAAAAAGCGATGGAGAGTCCTGCCCCAGAACAATGGTTCTTAGAGCTCCCTCAAACAATGCCACCATTACCATTTCCACAACACAGAATAAATCAGGCGAATGTCACCACGAACAGACTCTGCCCCTCTCCACGACGGCAGTAAACTGTTTCGATGGCTAGAGGACCTCATTCCAGCTGATACTGCCTTGGGGGTGTCTCCTCGTCCTGGTTAGATGTTAAATTTAACCAAAACAGCTCATCAGACACTCTTGCAATGTTGAAAAACAACGTGAGAGACAAACTGAGAAGAGTATTTAAACCAGATTTTATAAGCACTAGTGAAACCCAAAAGTTATGGAGACCCTGTCCTGATTGAACAAAAGTCAGTAACAAACCCAGGCAGACATTAAAACGCGGCTTTCTTCTCCTCCTGGGGTGCTAAGTGGTGACCTCATAAATCATTAGCTAGGCTCCCAACGCCTATCAGAGCCTGCTACACCCCATATTAAATTAAATGTTTTGAGACTATTGGGTAATATGTTATTTGAGTTCTAATTCAGTTATCAATAAATGCAGTTTAAAATGATTTCTAAATAAGCATGGCATTAGCACATTTGCTATTTACAACGCAAACCAGGCTATTGATAATTTGAAAATACTTTCTGAAATTAAATTTAAACCAGCATCACTGTTGCAATTCTATATATTTATGGTTTCCTCACAACCTTCCTGAAATGGAATTAGAGCAAGCCAATAATTTTATTAAAGCTGTAAAGGCTTCTGTTAAAGCTGCTTTTCTTTGGAGAGGAAATGTATCTGGATGTGATTTTTGCTAAAATGCTATTTCAAATTACTGCATCAAATATAGCAGCAGTATGTCCGTTGACAGTTTAATGATTACTGCATTAGATTGTAAGGAAAAGGGTCACGTGAACTTACCTGCTCGCTTGGTGGATTTAAAACATTATTTAAGTTCTATAGAAAATTTATTACATTTTCATTTGACCCAGTTAGTCACTGAAATTTGTTGGTTATGTTTAGCAGCCTTGTATGGAGAAGAGGGAATCAGGCACTTTGATCCAGGGTAAGGGCTAGTAAGCACTGTGCAGATGCTCATACCTGAATGCTTTTAGAAAGTGTTACTTAAACAGCACCTTTGGAGAGAAGTAGAATGAGTACTAAGAGAGTAATTTTAAAAAGACCTGAGCATTTTAGGTCCTTTGCCTGAAGAGTCTTTGAAGTCCTTCTCTCTTTTTGCTTTTAAGAAATATTTCAAATGCAAAATAACGTAAGCTTTTGGAGCTACTGTGAGTTAGAGTCACTCTACTTTGCAAACATTTCAGGTGACTGGTGGGCATTCTTAATACTTGTACAGTCTCTTTGTGGGTAAATTGGTCTGTAAGAGGAATTAACCAAAGGATCAAATAAAAGCAAGGAAACCCAGTGCTGCTCTTCCCTCTCTCTCCCCCACCTTTTAAGAAAAAAAAAAAAGAATTCTTTCAGAGGAATTTGGGTCAGGAAAAGGGTTGTTTTCAGTTTTCCCATTGCTGCAACAGTTAACCTTTAATAAGAATGACTGCTAAATATTTAAGAAAATCAAATAGATGGTGAAAATTATTTAATCATTAATATCTCAGTGGGGCTTTAAACTTAATAGTCTTCCCTGTATGGACAAGGTCTAGAAATAACACAAATAAAAGTATCATGCCACACTACATTTACTTTATGGGTTTAGGGTGCATGCATAAAGGGATCATATTTCCCCATATAGTTAAAGCACAAGAACTGCAGTAGTAGTCATTTCTGAACATTTCTCAATTTAATTATACTTAAATCCAGAAGCACTTTAGGCAAGTTACAAATGAGAGCATTGAGTATAATAAAACCTGTAATAAAGCAACTTAGTACCATCCACCCGGAATCATTGCGATCAGGCACAATTAACAGGAGCATAAATCCAAGACAGAATGGAAAATGTTTGAATCAGTATTATTGTTGGACAAAGACTAGAGAAGGAAGTAATAGTTTTTTAAATGGTAATGCCTGTGTTTGGTAACGATTGCGAAATCTTCTATCTCAGCAGCCCTGGTGCTAATTTGTAAACACAGCCAGACATTATATTGCTTGTCAGTTTCTGCATTAGAAAACATGATTTCATTTTACTTTCTAATCACGTTTTGACTCTAGCACACACGTATACCCATCCATCTGTAAAGAAAAAAAAGAAAGAAAAACCCACACTGACAAGTCTGCTGTTTGGACAATAGAAAAGCAACCTCAGAGGTTTTTCTTCATTATTATTTTTGATATGCTCATATTCCTGTCATATCCGGTTTAGGCAGTAGCCTTTTAAGAAAATTATTTCTAATTCTCCATAAGCGAAGGTGTGCTTGCTCTTTATTACGTTACCTACAAGGTTCCCAGCACTCCTCCGTTGCTCCCGCCCGTCATTTCTATTGTGTCGCCCTAGCTTTTGCTACCTGCACATGGGAAGCTGTAAGTCCGAAGCCACTGAGGCGCCAAACTAAAGCTGGGAGCATTTCTAAAGGTCGAACTGACTGTGAGAAAGATTAGGTACTCCAAAACTTCACTTAATTTCCACAGAAAGTTTTATTCCCCACCCCATCCCCTTCAAACACGGATTATTTGCTGGGGAGGAGAATTTGGCTCTGGGTGTGCAGTGAAACCTCTTGAGTCCCAAAGCCTCCAATTCTAATAAGCCAGGATGAGGTGTTTATATATAAATGTCATCTTATGGGAGGGAGAATTTTGATCCTACACTTTCCCCTCCCCCATCTTGCACAGAATATTCATTTCCTTTTGTTTTGATTATACACTTACATCCATGTGTATCCTTTTGTTGCAGCACGTAGAAGACCCGGGTATTAACATCCCAGATCAAACTGTAATTAAGAAAGGTAAGCCATTTCCTTCTGCATTCCAAGCATGTCCTTACAGGCAGAGAGCTATTTAAAAGAACTTGCAGAGCTGTATTTTTTTTCAAATAGGATTTCCTAAAGGCTCAGAATTAGCAAATAGATAAGCATAGAAAAGCAATGCTTAAATCATCAGCTTTCAGTATCTCAGTAATGGCAACAGGGTAGCTTTGTTCTGATTCATGATTTGACCATTTAATTTAGTTTAATGATATTTGGACAAACATGAAATGTGCAATAGTTGAACTGATTTGGAAGCAGCATTTTAATATTGAGCTGGTTTAAGAGTTTAGCTAATCTACCGTGTGGAGTTAAGGCCATGAGTGTTAAGAAGTCTTTTATATTAAAATAGTGCAAATAATTTCATGATTGTAAGGACAGATGATTTAGAAGCAGTTCTTAAACTGGGGAAAACTTTCATGTTGTTGAGTTTAGTTTCTTGTTGGCTGTTTAAGGAGTATGAAACTTTGGGAATTAGGTTAACAAATGGAGCTCTTGCTTAAAAGTAGCACCTTGAGGATGGTAGGACTATTGTTTGTTCAAGCAGAAACTGTTGGAAAAATGTCAGGTGATCTGGATAGATTTATAGTGCTTAGTGAGTAGAAATAAAGTTTCCTGGATTAAAGGATATTAACTTTTTTTGGGGGGGTTATGATTACATTTTGGGATTCTAGGCACCACCAGAGGACTATGCTATATGAAATTGTTCTCATTTCTAACCTCAACCAGTATATTGTTAGCTAAAGTTTCATTTTTGCATCTGTGAAGTCTTTGTCACGTCAAATTAGATGTTCAAGGGATAAATCTTAAGAGATGCTCTTTCCAAGTCGACATGATAATTGGCTCTTTTATTAGTAATCTCTCAAGAGTTCGTTTAACTCCTATTGTCTCTATTAGCCTCCCTAGAGCTATTAATGTCACAAGTGATCTATCCAAAACCTAGAGCCCCCCACCTCCCATACTGCTACAATATCGCCCTTTAAAGAACATTGAGGAGCACTGTGACCAGAACGTGTGCGCATTAAGTCTTCGTGTGGGATTTTAAGATACAAATGCAGTGTACTGAAATGGTCGTGAGTGCACGCATCTGAGTTACACTGGTGTTGAGAAATGAACAACGTACTTTGTGCTGGTCTTGAATTTTTTTCTAACAATGACGGGCTTATGGTTTTAACTAAGAAGAATACCGTACCTGCTAACCCCTCCCATCGAAGGCGCTTAAGCCCGCGGGGCCCATTAAGTATTTGCTCAACAAAAGGACCCAAGGCTGGTGCTCCACCTTAGGCCAGTTCTTTGCCCCACCCCGCCCCCATCCCCTGCTCAAAAGTGGGTTTGGAATGGATCTCCAAAACCTGAATCTTTTCTGAAACAGAACATATGATAGAATGTATGCCTCTAAAGGTCGGGACATGTGATGTGAACTTACCACTTTCTAGTTTGGTGTCGTAACTGAAATGCTCATTTACTGGTTGCGTTAGCCATCTAAACTGTCGGCTGGTTTTAGCAAAGTAATAAATACTGAAGCCCTTTTCTCTTGGACACTAAATTCGTCACCCCGCAAACCCCCAGCGCAGATCTAACTTACCCTAGGTTTGCAATGCAACCCCGCCCCCGCCCCCTAAACTGCGCGGAGCCCGGGGCGCACCCCGCTCCGGCGCAGGGCTCGCCAGGTGGCCTCTCAGCTCCGGGGACAGGGTCGGCCGGGGAGTGGGAGGGCGACGGGCGGTGGCGAGAGAGCTACAGGATTTCTGAGCTGCCAGGAAGGAAAAGCGGGGCCCGCGGCGGCAGGCAGGCCCCGGTGGCGGGGGGCTGGGGACCCTCGATGCCCACGCGCGGCCTCCCGTCTGTCTCTGCAGGCCCCGTGTCCCTGTCCAAGTCCAACAGCAACGCCGTCTCCGCAATCCCTATCAACAAGGACAACCTCTTCGGCGGCGTGGTGAACCCCAACGAAGTCTTTTGTTCAGTTCCGGGTCGCCTCTCGCTCCTCAGCTCCACCTCGAAGTACAAGGTCACGGTGGCGGAAGTGCAGCGGCGCCTCTCACCGCCCGAGTGTCTCAACGCGTCGCTGCTGGGCGGAGTGCTCCGGAGGTGAGGCCCCGCCCGGCCCGCCCACCCCGCGCGAGCTAGCGAGTGAGCGCGCGCGTGCGCGCGCACTGACCGGGGGACACTGCGCCTGCGCCGGCCTGCGGCGGCGACGCACGCGGCCTTCGCGCCGTGGCCCTCCCTTCGCGGGAAAAGAAGGGGCGGGGAGAGGAGCGCGAAGCTGAGTGGGTGGGATCTGGGGGCGGGGCGAGGCGGCGCGCGCCTGCGCTCTTCGCCGTCCTCGGGCGCGCGCTCTGCCCGCCGCCGGCGCGCTCGCCGGGTCCTGCGTCCTTACTCTGCGCGCGCGCGCGGCGCGCTCCGCCGCGGGCTCAGTCCCTGCTTCTGCAGCCGCGGGGCGCCGTGCGGCCGTCTTTTCCCTGTTGGCACGCACCTTGCAAGCCCAGGAAGACTTCCTCCGGGGCTCTTCGCTTTGCCTCATCACTGAGTAGGGTCTCAATGGTCCCCAGCTGTCCTTTCAACACGGTTTTCACAGAATAGCGTTTAGCTAAGCGAGGAGACCAGTTTCCTATAGTGCGCCCCCTTGTCCCCGGGCGCTGTCGCCTCCCTGCAGCAGTCCACCCCCAGAGCAGGGCAGCGGGCGTGCACGCGCCAGGGGCTGTGCGGGCCAGGCATGTGTACGTGCTTTGGACGAAGTTGCCACCGAAGATTGCGCGTGTTCTTTTTGTGTGTGTGTGTGTGGGGGGTCACCCCACCCCACGAAATGGTGATGATTCATCTCAGAGAGAGGATTTTATGAGGTCGGGGAGGAAAGCACCATCCCTGCTGTGGGCTTCCTCCTCCGGGGTTTCCCTCAGCCATGTGCATTAAGGGGCTTGGGTTGAATTTAGCAGCATAAGGTGTTTATTATCCTTCTCCACCTCCTTCTTCTTAATTAAGACCAAGAACTTCATTATTTTGACTCTGGTCCACTTATCTATTTGTGGGCCCACAGTTCGAGGGGGGTGGGCATATCCCATACAAATCCTGCCAGAGGGTTTTGGAACGTTTTAACATCAGTGATTCTGACCTTTTTTTCCTTCTTCACAGTCATTTTGCTTTCTCTTTGTAATCTTTCTCTGACATAGATCTTTTTTCTGTCCTTTGCCTTTTTCTCCCTTCCCCCACCCCCAGGATTGGAGACTGTTTACCTAGGGGAGTATAATCTAATCCACACAATTAAAGAGCACTTGAATGGGGAATAAAATCTGAAATTAATTAATTTGCTGTTTTATTTAAACAATGTATCTTAACCACTTTCTGATTATGGGAGTCTATTTAGACATCTATTTAGAACCACCTCTATTGTTTCTGAAACTGGTGAAATTTTGAGAGGCTGATGTCAGGCTTTGACGGTTCCCACTAGGCTGGTGACACGGTGTGTAAACAGTTGGTGAAATGACTTACCCACTGGGGCCAAAGCAGGGCAAGAGCCGCGAGAGTGCTGATAACTTTGGTTACTCTGAACAACCTAACAGCAGATCTGGCAAAGACAATTTAAAGACCCCATTGGGATTTGTATGATTGTAAGAACAGAGGAAGTGTACAATAATCATTTGAACTTGAGAACACCTCCAACCCTAGAGATCAGAGCCATGTTTATTTGCCTGTGGTGCTTCTTTCTGAGAGTTGGGAAATCAAAACTTCCCATGTGTGGTAATGGTTGCAGCAGTCACTAAACACAGGGGGTGCTTTACAGTTTAACAACCATCTGTCTCCTTGTGATCCTTGTGTACCGTATTTGCTATGCAGTTCAAGCTGGGCTTTTAGCCCAGGCTGGTCCCGAACCGACAGCAATCCTCCTGCCTCAGCCTCCTAGAGGTGACATGTCTCAAATTTTATAAACGTGTTCCAGGAATCTTTCACAATGCTTTTCAGTTGATGCAGAGCAACCCAGTGTTTTCTAAATGCTTATCGTGTGTATATCTGTGAAACAGGGCGAAGTCTAAAAATGGAGGAAGATCTCTAAGAGAAAAACTGGACAAAATAGGATTAAATCTGCCAGCAGGGAGACGTAAAGCTGCCAACGTTACCCTGCTGACATCACTAGTGGAGGGTAAGCGAATCCACTTGCTAACTAGGAAGGAACTGCCTGTTGGGAAAATGGATAATATTTAGGGGCCAGATGTTTGGTATTTTGTGTCAACTGGGCAGTTTTGTCTTTCCAAAGAATATAGCCTGAGGTGAATGGAATTCCTGCATGCTAAAAATTATTTGCGTACTCCTATCCTTCGATTTTCCTCTCTCCCACAATGTTACACCTTTGCAGCCCATTCCTGACCTAAACAGTGCACACATTTCAGAACTGCCCATTCTTCAAGAATCCTTTAAAGAGCTCAGCAGTGAATTATTTAAGTTATTCTGACATCTGCGTTTGAGAAACGCGTGACCATTACTTCCTGAATTAATTTGGGAATCTTTGACCTGTATCCTGATTTAGGACTGTCCCCGAAAGCGGAGGGTTTTCTGTCCTTGTAGGCTTTTGTTCACCAAAACATATGCTCTCTTATCTCTTGTGTAATTGTGCTTCTCTCCCGGAAGGGAAGAAAGCCATTTTGGACTTCAGATTGTTTGGATATGGAAAGGCAAAAACGAAATATAAGCCTTGCAAAATAAGTTTCTCATGGCAGTGTTTCACACGCGGCCACATAGTCACCCTTCCAAAGTCCCTGAAATAAAAAGCCAAGCATGTCCTCACTCCTCGCTCCAGATAGACTGACCCCGCAATTCATTCACATTCCTGTCTGCTTCAGAGTCCTAAAGGTTTTTTGTTTTAAATATTACACTGGCTCAAGTTTGTGTGTTTTACAAATGAATGTATTGCTGTCTTGTATTTTTCTGTGAGCATTTGTAGAAATATCTTCCGGTAATGTGGAAAATGATGCTTAAATTACCAGCCAGATTTAAAGGCTAAACTTCATATGAAAAGGAGGCATTTTGTCTTATTTACATCTTGCGTTTGAGGAGATGTATTACAAGTGAATCCATAGTTCTAGCTTTATAAGTTACTTTAAAAAACGTTTAAAGCCTTGTGTGAGGAGGACTTGCATGCTTTTTATTTGTGAATGGTATCAGAGATGATAATATATAACAATTTTAGAAACCAGCAATTGTTCAGTACCAGAAACTCAACTACAATAGCATTGTATTAAAATAATAACAGCATACAGACAACCCTCTGTGCATGCTCCAAAGAATTAGATGCCAAGGAAGGGCAGTGGAGGCTTAGCGGCTAGTGTGAGAATTGGTGTGGGCCTGGGGTTGAGTGCTGTAGCAGGCAGGCAGTTTCTGGAGAACTGTTATTGTTTGTGATCCGCTCCATTTTATGGAAACAAGCTCTGCGGAGAGGGCTTTGATGCCCTAATTGGCGCATGCGTTCTTCCGGAGCTGGGGCTAATGGCAGGAAGCCCTGCAGTAAAAACCAACTGGTTCAGGAAATTAAAACCAAAGATTCGAAAATCAACAGCACAGACAGACTCAGTGGAGTGACCCTCAAATCCTCTTGGTTAATCGGTTTGGATGAACAGATAATTATATGTGATCAAGTTAAAATGTAAACTCTCAGTGGTTCCCTTGTAGAAAAGCTCAAGGAGTAATTATGAATATCATTTATGTGTGTGTTGATAGGTGTGAGGTTGGAATACAAGAGCCGTCTTAAGAGAGAAGGTGGGGCCTGTCAGTCAGGGCAGAGGATGGCAGTGGAGCTGGTTGGGTGGGTGGGATACATATTTTCAAATCTTCTTGGCCTTTGAATACAAGAGGTCATGTTACTTGCAGGTTCTAGAGAGAAGGAAATCAAATGTCTGGGATGGGAAAACGACTAGTTTGCATTTCCTTTAACTTCTAGGCTAAGAAAATAAGGGAGTTGGGAGCAGAGAGGAAGTTTTGATCCCAGAGCATTTCATTCTCTTGCCCTGCCCTCTCTGCTCTTGCCAGGAGAAGCTGTCCATCTAGCCAGGGACTTTGGGTACGTGTGTGAAACTGAATTTCCTGCCAAAGCGGTAGCTGAATTTCTCAACCGACAACATTCCGATCCCAATGAGCAAGTGACAAGAAAAAACATGCTCCTGGCTACGAAGTAAGGCATTTACCTCTGCGGGGTCTCTGCATCTCACTGCTGAGAGAAACAAAAGTTGTTTTTTGCTCTCCTTTTTCTCTTTGCCTTTTGTGCGAATCAGCTTTGTCGTTGGGAGTAGGGAAGTTACAACTGGCTCTTTTAACCCATGAGCTCTGTGAAACGGGAAATGCAGAGGGGACTGCAGGGTTGTTCCGAGTTTTCCTTCTCTTCTGCTTTTCTCTCTCACTTAACATATTTTGAACATTGACATGGGTGGGAGTGTTGGAGGGGTCTGATGGAAGCTGAGTGTGTGTGTGTGACTGCATTGTTTCAGCAAGACAGTGATCAGATCCCTGAAAGGTAACTAACAGGGTTCCCTATAGTTTTTGTCTCCTGTCAGTCTGTTCTCCAAGGGCAAAGATTAAGTGGCCTGCAAAATGTGCAAACCAGAGGCTGGCCTAGTTTCAGCTCTAATCCCTTATTCCATTTCTTACCTTCCTTTCTCTCCTCATTTCAGAAGTGTACACACACACACACACACACACACACACGAACACACACGAATACATGTGCACACGCCACACAAGTTTTAGCCTACAGGCAAGATGTCAAATAGGTTTCAAAATGGCCCAAGTTTTATTCCCACCAGTGCCTGCGCTGAATAGACTTCTCCAGGTGGCATGTGAAAAGAAAATGACTGTTTTGATATGTTTTCTGGAAATTAAAAGGCTTGTTGGGAAGCCCTTAATTATCAGTAGTCGATGTCACAGAAGGGCATGGAACCAGAGGATGCAAGTGGAGGCCCTGGGTGGGACACTGTTTCTGGCCTGGGGACATCAACCGGCCCTGCAGAAGGGGCCAGCCAAAGCCTCTCATTCTTCCGGTTCCCACCCTACCCCCAGGCCTGGCAGTAGCCACCTCAGGAAGGTCCCTGCTAGTCCCTGCTTTGAGACGGGACAGAGCAGCCTGTGTGCTGGCTTCATCTGCCTAGATTTCTGGCTTTCCAAGACTCTTTCTGAAGTTTCAGTTTCCCCTCCTTCCCTTGGCTGGCTCCTAAGTGCAATTGTGTTCACAGTCCTTAAGCAATTCTTATTTGGGTGTGTGCAGAAAAAGTGAAGAAATGGGAAATTTAAATGTCTGTACCTTGGGCTGGGGAGATGGCTCAGTGGAATAAGCACAGGCCTGAGTTCAATCCCCGGTTCTGAAAAAAAAAAAAAGTCTGTATCTTTTCCCCCAAACCACCTTGAATTATCTCTAAGGAACAGGCTTCTTTTGCATCCCTCCCCCACTTCAAGGCACTATAGTCTCCAGCAAAGTTTTGCCTTTCTTTTTTTTTTTATTTTTAAAAGAGTATAAATTAGAATTAAAAGAAAAAATTAAAGAAAAAATTACAAGTGATGCAGACTTTCACTTAACAAAGAAATATGAATTTCACAGTATTCGTTACACAGTATTATCTTCCAACCAGTTATTCGAATTACCAGATAGATACATGTAAAATTAGATGAAGAAAAAAACTCCAAAGAAATATATAAGAAATTAAGAAGACAAAAAGGAGAAACAATTGAAAACAAGGTGATGAAATAAATTAAAGCATTAGCTACTTCTTTCCACAGCTCAGCAGAAATGCACAGTACAATTGTCCAAACCATCCGGCTTATATACATAGATAAGTCAGTCTCCTTCCCCCACTCCCTCTCCTATCCTTTTCCTCAACTCAGTAACTCTTTCCTTTTTAATAAGTTCATTCCCTTTTCCCAGTGTTTCTTGTACCCTGATTGGAAGGTGAATGGGTGCAGACTTCACCAACTGCTTCCTAGAGTAGGTTGTCCAGAGTAGCAGGGAAGAGTCTGTGTCACATTTTGGAAAGGAAGGATGAGTTGTTTCCTATTGGCCACATGCGTGTGTTTCTGACTTCTGGTCTAACTTGTCTTTCTTTGTCACGTAGTGTGTGTATTCCTTTGCGGAGGATGCTTGGTATGGGAAAGGTTCTGAGATGAGACAGGGAGGGGGAGGGGAGGGGATGGGGTAGGGAGAAAGAGAGAGGATGGCACTTGTGAAGGCAGGAAGGGTGTGCATTAAGGGAAGGAGAGGTGGTCTGGTGAACCTAGGAGGCTGCCTACTGCTGCTGGCCTCAGGCAATGCAGTGCCCACTGGGTGGGGACAGAGGTAGCTTCAGGGAGAGAGGATTTCTGTTCCCCTGGTGCATTGGGAGCCTCAAGTCTCTCTCCACCCCATTTCTGCTGCAGACAGATATGCAAGGAGTTCACCGACCTGCTGGCTCAGGACAGATCTCCCCTGGGGAACTCAAGGCCCAACCCCATCCTGGAGCCGGGCATCCAGAGCTGCTTGACCCACTTCAACCTCATCTCCCACGGCTTTGGCAGCCCGGCGGTGTGTGCCGCGGTCACGGCCCTTCAGAACTATCTCACGGAAGCCCTCAAGGCCATGGACAAAATGTACCTCAGCAACAACCCCAACAGCCACACGGACAACAGCGCCAAAAGCAGTGACAAAGAGGAGAAACACAGAAAGTGAGGCTCTCTCCTCCTGCCCTTCCCGCCCCCACCGGCAGGTGACAGCTTGGGGACCAGCCACCTTTCCTGCTGCTGCTGCTGCTGCTGCTGTGTGCTGCCGCTGTTGCTGCCCTCCGGTCCCCAGTGTCCTCGGGACTGCTTTCTACTGCCAGGGGGCAGACACTGCCGCTGACTCCGCCCCCTTCCTCGACTTACCCCCCCCCAGCCCTTATGTAGAGCCTAAGAGAACAGAACAGGCCATGAAGCCAGCCCAGAAAAGTTCTGTCGAGTTTGTGAATCTTTTTTTTTTTTAACCAACAAATCACCAACAAACATTAAAAACTTTTTTTTCTAAAAAAAAGAACGTAAAAAATTAAAAAAAAAATTATATGAGCTTCATGGGACCGAATCACCACCTTCCCTTACATACTTCAGTTCAGATTGTAGCCATACTTTAAAAAAAGGCAAAAAGCGTAATGACCTTTTTATCAGTATTGTGAATAAACTTGAACACAAATACACGAAGTTCCATGTCATGTCTTCAGTTGTAGAAGTTTCCCCTCTCCAAGGTAAAGTGACCAACTTGAACTCTCTCTGGCAACACGATTCACAGTCAGATAAGGGAATCAGTGTTCACAACTCTGTATATATTTATTTATGTGTAATTTAATGGGATTTGTAAATATGGTGAGTCTGTTTTAAGCCTTTTTTTTTTTTTAATTTATCTGGTGATCTCGTTTACCTCTTGTTTAGTGGGTTCTGATCTTCCCTATTAGTTCTTCATGTGGTTCATGGTACTTAGAACTCCACAGTTTGGGGAATTTTGTTTTTCCTCCAGGATTCATGAATTTAGCCCTGTTGTAGCATGTTAAAAGGTGAAAATGAAACAGCTGGACAAATAAAAAAAAAAAAGAAAATAAAATTTTATATATAATTAGTATTACATTTAGCTTTTCATTGAACTGAAAGAAAAAAGTGACATTGGACCCTGGAAAGATTTTTAAACTTGAGCAGTTTGATAATGATAACCCTTCTATGTATTGTGGGGGGAAAAAGTTTATTTTATTCTACCATCCTCCTTCAAAGCATCATTTGAGCAATAAATGAATCTTGACTTTACACCAAGGGTTAGGGAGTCTCTCTCTCTCTCTCTCTCTCTCTCTCTCTCTCTCCTTCTCTCTCTCTCTCTCTTTCTTTCCCTCCTCTCTTTTTGTTCAAGGAACTTCAGACAGTTGGGACCACCTGGTGTCCTGTGTTTTCACTGGCCCTATTGGAAACAGTTCTAGTTGTATTGTATTGAGTTGTGCCGGCAGTAGTTTTCATGCCTGTCAATGTATCATAGTCCTTTGTTGCCCAGATAAATAAATATTTGATACGCTTTATGTCGATTTTTTTTATTCAGTGGCTGTCTTTACCCTGGCGTATTTTTGTTCTTGGCAGTATTTTTTATTCAGTATGGTTACAGTAATTGAGTTTAACTCTCCCTTGGCAATTGCTCCTTGCAATAAGCAGCTGAACCCATTGTTTCCCTCAAGTATAATAAAAACTTACTTTCAACTTGGAGTTCAGAGCAGGGTATCATTTAGATATTCCACCGAGTCTGTATTCAGACAAATGACACAATAAAACCCAATGTAAAAACCTTTTGGATAAGATTGTTTGTACTGCTAAAGGAATGACATACTGTCTTTTCCTTACCAGAAACATTAATTTTATTATTAAAAATAAAGTTTTATTTTATTTATGTTGATCCTTTAGATTTTCATTTGCTTTTGGAAGTCAAAATGTAAATCCTCCAGAGCCAAACATTGAGGAGGCTAAGATGATGCAGAAGGGAAGAGCCAAGACTCCAGCCCCATAAGTACTTCCCAGTCATTCTCAAGATAGCTGAAATTTAAGTTATTAGTTCATTAGCACAAAGAAAATCCCTACTTCAACCAGTACTTGTTTGCTCAGGGTTCTCTAAGGCTGACACATCCCAATGAGCAGAAGCCAGCTCGCCCTTTCTGGGATGAGAAAGGAAACAGTGGTAGATATACACATGGTGCACCCTAAGAGAGGACAAATTGTCTTATTTTCATATTTTATCTAGAGAGGAGTTTACTTAGAGGTGCTATTCTTAAGTCATTCTGGTGGTAGCAGAGCAGATGGGGAATTGGTAGATCCCTGGAATCTTCTGTTGGCTCCCTAAATGCCAACCCACCCCTTCCCTTCTTCAGAGGGCTCCCCTTAGGAAACACAGCCCGGGCTGGCGGGAGGAGGCAGGCCAGGGTGGAGCAGGCCCGGGAGCCCCCTGCCCCTGAGACCACTCTGCCCTCCTCAGTTGCAGGACTGATCGCTGAGCTCTGTGGGGAGGCAGGACTTCCTGTGCACCAAGATGGCGCTTTCTGAGCTTTTGTAAACTGCTTTGGAAATTTCTTGCTTCGGAAGTGAGGGTGGGAAATGGTGGTTGGAGGTTGGCTGACAGGAAAGGCCATAGGAAGGGGCTTAGGGAAAGGGTCAGGTAGCCAGGCTGGGGTGGGATTTTGACATTTGTTCTGGGGCTTGACGTTCTGAGGGACCAAGGAAGCAAAGCAGTAGTGTCCATTTCGCAGCTCTCTGCTTTCTAATCTCCTTATGGAAGGCAGCGTAAAATCAATCTCCACAAACGAACCAGAGTTGGTGGAGTCTAAATTCTATTTTCCAAAGCCAGAGAATTCATAACAATGGTGGGTTTAAACAATTCTAATGGAAAGTGTATTCTCAGAACGCAACGCGGCAATTGTTTTTTAAAGCGGTTATTTATTATTTCCTAGAGAGACTGGTTAACTGTAACGTAGATGTAACAAAATAATGAGGCGAATGAACCCTAACTGTACATACTCTTGACAGAAATGAAATGCACACAGCATCGTAGCAGGTGAAGTGAAGCATTGTCTATCAGGGCTGTTTTTCTTGGCTGCTTCTCAGATTGTGTGGGGGATCCTAACCTCAGGCACAATAGCATTCATAAACAGCCATACATTGCTGCTCTTTCTCCAACGACACATAAATACTCATTTTAAAACGAAAACGATCTTACTAAATACCATTCATTCATATCTGGATTTACAGATGCTTGTTATGTTGGAAAACCCGAACCTAATATAATCCTTGCATCCTGAGAAAGACAGAAAGGAAATAGTGGGTTAGAACACGGCAAGGTCATAATAAACAATGGTTTCCAAATGCAGGGAATTAGTTATTTTTATTCTATAGTTGGGCATTTGGAAGATCATGATATTGTCACTCTTTGCTTTTTCTTAGTTTAAAAAAAAAGGCTAAATATATTGCTAAGGACTGGGGGATTAGAAAGGTTATTATGCAAAATAATTTTGATTGGGATAACCACAGGCTACATGGGTTTTGACTGTTTTGTGATCATTGTATATTTCCCAAATCACATGGTGATTATAGGACAGTCCAGGTATTTGTATACTAACAACAGTGATTCTGTTTGGTTAAGCCAAATTAGGAGACATAGTTGAATTATAGAAATGCTGACAGGGCCACACTGATCACCACACCCTTTTTATGGAAGCACAATTTCCTTGCTGGTTTGCAATCATCATTGCCCTCTCTATCCTCCCGACACCCTTTAAAAACCACAATCCAAACCAGCGCTCCCCAAAATCGAATATTAATACAATTTGCGTTTTTGATGGAACTACCATCAGGCCTGCAATGCCCCGCAGCTGAAATAATATTTAAAATAGAAGGGATTTGACATTTGAGAAGTCAGTGGTTTGAAATACCCAGTTGTACTTAGCTAATTCAGTCCTTAACCTCTGGTTTCAAATAAATCAATTACAGTCGATTCCACTTCGGTTCAGAAGTGCACAGGGTTTTAGTTAATTGAATACATTTTATTCACTTGCTAGGAATATTCATTTATCAAAATTCTAAATTTAATATATATATATATATATTTCTTTACAACTCAGATTATGTTAGACTGCACAGTCAGACCCAATTTGCCCTGGTTTTCCCCAAATCCTGTTTCAAGTCCAAATGGTACCACTCTGTGAAACAACATCTCCCCTTTCTCCTTTCAACCAAGAGTAAATTTGAATTTTTTTTTTTTTTTTGTCAAACAGGACAGCTGATTTCCCCCTACAAGGAAAATATATGCAGTCACCAGCCTTGTGTTAAGTTTAAATAGGTTAAGAAAAAACTGGATTAATTAAGTTTTAAAAAAAGTATAGATTGGAAATTAAAAAAAAAAAACCCGCATGGTTTCCATTAGAGCTTAACTTTGCCGCAACTGACAGGTATGACAACATTTTGTGGTCTTAAACCACGGGCCCTTTTTCTTAACCCTCTCACTTCCTCTGACTCCTACCCTCTGGCTTTTAGAGAAGTGCTTGAATAAATACCGGATTGTTGACTGAAAGCAATACAGTTAAATGTGTCTAAATGAAGTTGTGCTTTAAACAGATATTGATGTATGCAGTGTTTTATATTTATTGTTCGTAGCATCCTGCTGGCAGCAGTTTACTGTTTGGAAAGGAAAGGGGTTAATTAGCGTCATTATCAATCACTAATGCTTGCCTAACGTGTCCAAAGAATAATCAAGTTAGAGGACAGGCACGAAGCCAACAGCTGCTTCATCCCACTTACAGATCTCTTAAGCTGCTCAGGGCAGGGTGGAGGGGAGGTGTGTGTGGGGAGAATCTTCATTGCTTGGGGAAAGGGGCTATAAAAATCAGGTCAAATTGAAAGAGATCTGGGAGGCAGAAAGTCCACCATAAATAACCAGCATTTTTCATTCTCTAGTTACAGGTGCACAAACACACCGGGCTGAGACATGAGTCCTGAAACTTGCACTTTAATTTCCTTCTTGATTGTCCAAGTTGGAGATTTGAAGAAGCACATCCATGTGCTGTGTGGGGGAGGGGGGACCCCATGAGAAAGATAAGCTCAACTCAACTCCCTGCATCACCCAAACAGTGCATCCTAAAAGAACAAAACCATAGAACACAACAGGTAATATCAGCTCCCACACCTCTGCATCCAGTCCTTCTTTTCTTAGGGATATTATTTCCTTATGAATCTCAGTGAACAATTCTTTTCTATGTTAAACTTCCTACATTACCTGCCATGCCCAAGTATTCTGGTTTCAGCTTCTTCTTATTGCTACTACCCTTAATGATACTGTCTTCCCTGTGACCTACCTTGGGTGAGAAGCTGAAAAAGCCTGACCCCCTTCTGGGTTCCTTGCAAGAGTAGCTGGTCTTTAGAAAGTTCTTCTCCAAGTTACCCATGAGTTAGGACTACAATCCCCACGCATGAGTCGAGTTTAGTCATCTGTCCTTCCAAGGCGGGGATGAATTAGTTGGAGATGGACAATCTATAAACAGCAAGGAGATATATTACTGAGTGAAACATTGATTTCTTTCTCCAAAAGCAGTAGCCTCAAATCCTCCTTGCCTGTATGGATGTAAATGAGAAATACTCCCACATTGTGGGCTTAAGTCTTACCTCCGGAAAAGTAACTGGTTTTCCCCACATGGACAGCAGGACCACCATTAGTGTGGCAAAAGAAGGATGTTGGGATGGAAAAATGATATAATTCATGTTTATGGAAGGTCCTGTGTTTAAACATTATTGTATGCTTCTTTTGGCCATGCAAGAGGAAAAAAGGGAAGAGGAGGAGAAGGAAGAGGAGAAGGAGAAGGAAGAGGAGGTGGAGGAGGTGGAGGAAAAAGGAGAGTGCAGGCTGAATTTGGAAGCTTCATTTGTAAAAGTTTTATTCATGTGGAAGACTATTTCTATTTTATCTTTGGTGCCTGAACAGGACAACAGAACCAACTTAGCCTTCACAGAGAAGTTTATTTCTGAACAGAAGAAGAAATATTTAGTGATTGTTGGAGAAGGAAGCCCAGAGAGGAAGCATTTTTACAGTGGATAGTTAGAGAATCTCTCTCTCTCTCTCTCTCTCTCTCTCTCTCTCTCTCTCTCTCTCTCTCTCTCTCTCTGATGATCTGAGGGAGAATTTTGCAGACTGACCTGGACTTTCTGCACTAACATTCATTTAGATCCAATTAGAGGGAGGAATATTTTCAACACTGGGATGACATCTTTTTTTCAGTGGCCCACTCCAGGCTCTGCTTAGGCTACCCAGATTTTTCCAGGAAATCAAGCTCAGGTCCTGGGATTGGTAGAGCTCTTGCCTATCCGATGGGAGGGGAGGCATGGATTCAACTATAGCAAGGGAAACAACAAATAGGAAACCTAGATCCAAGCCCCCCAAATGGCAGTGGGTCCCGCCTCAGAGCACCCATTGTGGGCTGAGGTGTCAATTCCATCAGATCCTTAGGTTTCTCAAGTCAGTCTTGGGGCCTGTTTTCCTCTGAGAATCCTC